GTGCATGTGTGTGTGCGTGTGCATGTGTGTAAGACTATGGTTTCCAGAAGAAGAATCTTCACATGTTAACTTCAGAGAGCAGGTATGTCCTATCATGTATTTCAGATTTGTTGAACTGTAATAGTGCAGGTTCTTAAAAATCAGAAATGCTCAAAAATATGAAACACTTCTGTGCCATATCAGCACTCAAAAGAGCTCCAGGGCTGGTGAGATTTCATGGAGCAAAGCCGCCTGCCGCCAGCCCTGACTGACAACCTAAGTTTGATCCCTGGGACCTACCTACAAGGTAAGAGAAAAACAACTCCTGAGAGTTGACTTTTGATCTTTATCTCCATATTCTAAATGAATAAAGTAATAATTAAGGTTTGGGGACATGAACTCTGAATGACTTCAAATTTTCAGATCGTCAGACACACTCAACCAATAAAGTTTATACAAGCATCCCCAGATCCAGACAACTCTGAAATGTGCAGCATTTCTGGTCCCAAGGCATTTTGGAAGAAGGGTATCCTTCCCTGCTAGGGTTGTGATTTACCCTTGCTCTTTGGTTAAATTTACTGTACTGTTTGGAGTTGTTTTAAGAAGCTTACAAGTCAGGGCAGTGGCTGCACACACCTTTAATCCCAGCACTCAAGAAGCAAAGACAGGCAGATCTCTGAATTTGAGGGTAGCCTGATCTACAGAATGAATTACAGGACATCTAAGGCTTCACAGAGAAGGCCTGTCTTGAGAAGGTTGTGGGGAGGAATGGCAAGTGGCGATCCCTGAGAAAGAAATAGGAATGGGGATGATGGCCCAAAGTCTAGGCAAGGTCTGACTGACAGACACAGAGATCAAGTGTGTCCAGCAAGGGTGGGGAGGGAGGTGGGAAAACAGGGCTTGGCAGAGTCCAGATGCTTCATTCAACATCTACAGTACATGGAAAAATAGGACAGAAGAAGGAAGGGACATTTGGGCCTATTTGTGGAAGATTCTGGACACATCTGGGCTTTTCCTTAAAGAAAGGAAGAGGGGAAGAAAGGGAAGGTGACTCACCCTCAGGAGCACCCACCTGCGCGGCTCTCAGAGGAGCTAAGGGCACAAAGGAGGCTATGACTTTCTAGCCACAGCTGCAGCCAGCTGTGAGACAGGTTAGATTAAGACAAGAGACAGACTTGCTGGCCCAAGACATAAAAGACCCGAATGGAGAGAGGGCAGTATATAAAACAGGAGACACAAGACTTAGCCACAGCCACATTCTCCATGAGAGTTGAAAGAGGAAACACGGGCTCCTGCCAGAGGGTGGAGACACTCATATTCTGCCTTGTAAATGGGATTCTCTCTTTGCTATTTCTTGCCAGACTTAGACATGACACAGATTGCTTTTCAGTCTCTGGTTGTTAGGTTGAGAGACTCTGTCCTCCAACAGGCTGGACTTGAGACCAGATATCATCATATCCCTCAAAGAAGCTCACAGTCCAGTAAGCAAAGCAGGTACACAGTGACCACTTTAGAACACAGTTAGCATGTGACAAAGATCTGTGAGCATCACTCATCCCTATGGGAACAGAGATATGAGCAGATCACCCTTCCCCCATGGAAACATGGGCCATTTCTGCCTGCAGTAGGGAAAAGACGTAAGAACACCTAAAGTAGAAGTTTTCCAGGCACAGCAAACGGCCACGTAGGAAGTCATAAAAGGTTGTAGCATCATGGTGGGAAAGGGAAGGTCTCTAGTGCGGGCAACACAGTGGAGCCTTAGGGATGGGGATACCCTGATTTAGGGCAGGGAACCACAGTGAAGCAGATGCCAAGAGTCTGAGGTGCTGGGCTCCAGACCTCAGCCAGTAAAGGGGAAGGCTGTTTCTGCAGACGCAGAGATCTCATGAGGCTTACAGGGGAGTGGGTTCGATGAGACCTGGAATACACTGGGCCATGCAACCTAGGGTGGCCTCAACTGATAACAATTCTCCTGCCTCCGTTTCCTGGGCAGAACAACTACAGATATGAGTTACCGTGGCATTTCTGGTTGACGAGTCGTTGTTTGGTTAATAGACAAACCAGCTCTTGTATAGACTTACATTCAACATCTGCCCTCCACTAGCTAGGACTAAGAAAACCCACGCCTCTGTAAGCCCCATTTATAAAACTGAAGCGATCCAAGTGATTCTCACATGGGATTGCTTAAGGACTGAGTTGATACATGTCAGTCACTTAGACGTACACTTGACACACAGTAAGTGCTCAATCAATCTTGTTATATATTATGTGATAATCGCAGCCCTCTTAAACCATAAACTCTTGTATCTATTTTAATACTCTAACCTGAGGCTTTGGGACTTCCTTCAGGGCTGTTTATGGTTTAAAGGGACAGGTGTCATTTCAAGAATCTTTTCATTAAGTGGGCAGAAGAGCTCATCTCTCAATAGTGATTTCAGGCCCTGGGCTGAATTCTCTGCCATTATTCTGGGGCACACATCTCCCAGGCCTCTTTTTGCAACACGCAAAGTTATTTCACACCAGCATGCCTTCCCATTCTAGACACTACTCCTTCCTTCCTTCCTTCCTTCCTTCCTTCCTTCCTTCCTGCCTGCCTGCCTGCCAGCAGCCAGGTGGGTTCTAAATTCTAGTGTCTTCAATAAACTAAGTCTTGTCTCCACTCTTACTGAGCGCAACCCTGATGGGGTGGGGGATGGGGGGCCCTCCCACAGCAGGTGGAGGATGCTGGGAGATAATGAAGAGCAGAGTGCTAGACAGGAGGCTGGAGGGGTAAGCAAGAGGGTTAGCCTGTTATCGAGAGCTAAAAACCTATCCTTATAAACTGTGGTACCCTTTAAGGCTATAGGGTATCTTTCAAATAACTCAGAGAGTCCTCATTTTTAAGAAATGAAAGGAAGCCTGGAGAGATACACCAGCAGTTAAGAGCACTGGCTGTTCTTGCAGAGGATCTGGGTTTGGTTCCCAGCAAACACTAGCAGCTCAGAGCCATCTGTAATTCCTGTTCTAGGGAATCTGATGCCTTCTTCTGGCCCCTAGAGGAATGTGGGTCGCACACTGTACCCACACATACATTCATAAAGTATTTGTTTAAAATGGAAAGGACTTCTTTTTAATAGACACAGTTTCTACAGAGATCATAAGACCCAAGACCCAGCCACCACATGGCTATGAGGCCTAGGTTGTCTGCTTCCTCCAGGAATGGGAGAATTTTAAATAAAATTTAAATGTGGTTTCTCTGGCTTCTAATGTCCCTGAGAAAATACAAGATATAACTAGAAAAGGTGCGTTGCAGAAAGAGCCCTT